GCCGACTTCACAGTATAGTCAGATTCGTCATTTAAAATTGCAAAATTAAAAATGATGCAATTCGTGTATATTTCTATTCAAACACTTTAAGATGCAAAATAAGCTATTATAAAAATCCAATAACATATACTAAAAATTGATTTTAATGAATATCTAACAAATGACACAACCTAAAACTGATCATTATTCAATACAGAATTTTATGAAGAAGCAGTTTTATAAGTATGACTCTTTTTCACTATTTTTAAGAGTCTTTCGGCATAGCAGGAATGCATTTTTTCATTCCAACGATAAGAAATGAAAGTCCTACCAGTGCTGCACCAATTGTACTATATACGTCAGGAATATCACAAAAAAGAAATATCTGTAACAAAAGCGATGAAATTATGTTTGAAGCCGCTCTGACAGTTGACACCGGGCTGACCAACTCATACTGAAAAGCTATAACTAATAACGTCTGCGACGCATAACTTGCGAAGCCAAAAAGAATCACGTACAGTTTTTGCAAACCGCATTCGTGCCATTTGAAATGACCAAATATTGATGCAAAAACTCCAGTCCAAATGGCTGACATCCAGTTACTATTGAATGTGACAACGGCATGATTAACAGTTTTTAATTTTCTAGTAATAATTACCTGTCCCGCAGTAAACACTAGGGATAATATTGCAGCTGCAATTCCATACAAAAATTCATTTGAATATGAAAAACTATCGTCGAACAAGTAGGGTGGCACTTGTGCTGTAAATATAATTGCAATTATTGTGAGAGTTGTCGTAATGTATAGTAATAAACCACAAGGCTCGTCTAAAAGAATGTTTGCTGCGACAGCGAAAAAAGCTGGTCTTGTGGATCGAATGATAATTGATACTCCTATTGGTAAATATTCATAAGAAATGAAGGTTAAAAATGTACTAATAGAACCACATATGCTTTGGGCCAGAAGGAACATGCGAGCACTTTTAGGTCCGAAAATATTTTCTGCACTTTTAACTGTTTCTGGAAGGGAAAATGCTGCAATGGCTATAAAATGGTATGTGGTCATTTGACCAGCATGGAGATCTTCAAGAAGTTGTGAGTTTGCTACAGCAACTGAGTGGAGAATTCCAGACAGCATCGAGAGTATTAAACTTTTAAAAGTCGAGATGTTTATCATGTCTACCATTCTCCATACTCAATTCCGGATTCCAGAAACTTCATTCTTATTGATTCCTCTTATATCCTTTTATCAAATATTATTCCTTTTCTTTGTGGCAAATGAAGGAATCTAAAACAATGGAAAAAACATTTTGTTAAACCCACTATCCATATCTTAAAAAGCTGTTCCTCGGAAACTTGAGGAAAAATAACATACATATTATGTATTCTTTTTCAATTTCATTTTACTGAGAAACGTTATTCAGCTTATATTTAGTTCATGTCTGTAACGAAAATATATTCAGGATTATAGTATATCCCGTCTTGACCTGCGAATTTAACTATTTGGTATAAATACCTTTTCTTAAGTTAAATGAAGATTTAATGTTTTTTTATTTTCAATGGCAGGGCATAAACAAGAAATAACACAGAAAACAAATGCAAAGACAAAACAGGTGAATAAATAAACTAGACAGAATGACCGAAGTCATTGCCCTAAAAGTTCTCTGGCTTGCCAATAGAGCGACGATTCAGAGCCGGAATGCAATGCAGCACAGCGGCGGAGGTGGATCCTATTCATGGGCTCTGCCAAGTTGCAGAGCGGACAGTCAGGTGAATTTAGAATACCGATGAAGATTTAATGTTAAAACGCTAAAAAAAAAATTCATTCTTCAAATTAAATGTTTTAAAAATAATTTGTAGTTTTTATTTGGTTAAAAAGTTCATAAATGCTAATAAGTTTAATTTGTTTAGTCAATCATTTATGGCTATTATGGGAGCTGCAGTAATGGACTAGTTAGTTTGATTAATTGATGCCAAACAAAAATCCACATTAAGGACAAAATTGATTAATAAAGGTTATTGTTTTAGGAAAAAATTATGTATATTGCATTGTAGTAATTTAATGACATTTAAATTAGTGCTGTGCAAGTACTAACCAAGAACCATGGATACACTATAAAAACATTCAGTGTATCTCAACATAAAAGTGGTGGTAACAACTTTACATCAAAGTGGTGCAATGAAACACCACAGATAACTCTTGGTTCACGGTGTTTCACTGCACCAAGTATAGTTCATGGTGTAGTCAAACACCAAGAATGTTACACGACTTTTACACGAGTTCATGTAAAGTAGCTGCCACCATTTTGGTATTCCTTAACGCTAAAGTTAATAGTAAAAACAAAATGATACCCATGCAAGTCTATAAAGTTATTTTCAAGGTACAATTTAAAGAAAGAACAGTTAGCTTTGTAAACATAATCACACTAATTTCTAAAATATAATTAGTTTGTAAATCAAAAACATGCACATAACACAGAGAGAATGTTAAGAGGCATTCGAAATAGGCTTAACAAAACGGAAACAGATAGAGATTATACAGTGTGATATCATTTAATACAGTTCTCAGAGATTTAGAAATTAAAATATAATTGTGGCTGAAATGCCAAGGTTAACAGAGCTGTAGTGCCAAGAAGAAGAAATGTATTAAATGGTTATATAATATTTAAATTCCGCACTGTTAAGGTCATTCGAATTCGTCTTAATATTCCGTATGTGCTATGAGTACGATTTGTTTGCTTGACCAATTATGTTTTAAAATTTTCACAATTATTTTAGGAATGTTAAAAAATAAATCTAAATAATTAAATCGTAACTAAGTTTTAATTTCTATAAAAATACCGAATTATTAAATAAATAGATAGATAGATAGATAGAAAAAAAATTCTGTTATATTATTAAATCTAATTTTAAGTAAAATACCTTTAACCTGATCATACATAAAATCACATTACATTAAAGAAATATACAACTTGAAATTTAAACTTACTTAGTGTCTTAAGATTTGGTGAAAATTTTAACAGAGCATAAGTCGGATTATTAGAAAATCCCAGAGTCAAACATTTCAACTGTAGTCTCTATGCGAGTGCCCGAATGAATTTAAAGACTGATTTGAGACGTCTTTCAATTAGTTGGCCACCTGTCTTATCAGAACTGGTCAAAAGTATTGAAAGTCTTGCGGCCTTGCGGAATTTTGTTTCTAATGTAAATTTGTAAATTTTTTCTCCTTTTGTTTTTTACTTACAACTGTAAGCCTCATGCTATACTTTGTGGTGCATGAGGAGTTTTAAGTCGTTTAAAATAAAAAAAAAAAAAAAAAACATTTCAACTGCCGACTTCACAGTTATGATTAAAACATCCAATTAATATTTTGAACCAGAGGTTATTAATTAGAGAGACAGGATTGTTTGCAAAAATTTAGTTTCAATGGTATATGTCAACTTGTTGTTTTTAATTTACTGACCTTTAATGTGACATTCGTAATCGCACCTGTAAGAACTTAATACACTATGCACCGTTTTATAACAGAATTTAAAACAAAATAATTTCTTCTTTTAAATTACTACCACACTCTCTTTTCCGAAAAACAAAATAAAACAACAGACAGATTTTGCAATGTTTGTGGTGACACTGTAAAGAATTTATATAGACCATATTGATAAATTATAATGGGATATTTTTCTTTCGAATATGGCAGTGTCATTGTTTTCATGAAACTTGGAACCATATCAGTGATCAAAATCTCAAGTAAAAACTTCGTGAATAAACTACATGTTTATTGTGTCATGTGATGTTCAGGAAATTTGCCTTGTCATAAAAACTATTAGGTATGCTCTCTCTCTGCACGTAAACTATTCTTGTTCTTTATATCCTCTCCCTTTTTCAAAATACTTTTTCTTAACAAGATGGCCGCCATTTCGAAAAATATTTAGATGAATTATTATTATTTAAACAAAAGTGGTAACAATTACATGTAAAACGCTANCATTTTTGCCACGGGCAACCTCGATTTTAAGCGACGACTGCTGAAAACATGCTTTAGAGCGATGGAAACGAAACTCCTGACTTTAACGCCGCACAACAACTACCCTTCTAAGCAGATCGACTGTTTTTTGCACTCTACACATCGACAACAGCTCCACTTCACCGTTCCCATATCCTATTTGCGCATGCCCGCCCTTCTGTGAGTTTAAAGGTTAAATTGCCACTATTTAATTTACAGCCCTTATATATATATATATATATACAGGAAAGATCACCTCCTTGTAATGATCTGCTCTATTTAGAACCTCTTTTGGGAGGCATGGAATTTTTTCCATAGACTTTTCGTTGAAGAAAACCTTTAGGAAAGACCCTCAAACCCTATCCCTGTGACCGGGAAAACCTGTGCACCAGAGGCAAAAAAGGTCAAATAAGAAAAAACGAAAATTTTTTAACAAAACAAAAAACTAGATTAAAATGTATTCAAGCTGTTGTTTTAAATTATTAACGATTCAGTTTTATCAAATATTTTAAAGATAGTATCATTGATTGGCCGGCCAGGTAACTGAACGGTTAGCGCGCCTGACTGCGAAGCCAATGGCTGCGAGTTCGAATCCCGCTCTGGGCATAGATGTTTCTCTCTCAAGTGTCCTCTGTTGTGTGCGATGTGTGAATGTGGCCACCCTATAAACGGGTTTGTGGCAGTGTGGCGTGGGTAATGTTGCTCGCCTCCGTGACTTTGAATCACGGGTGCCCACTGGATAACGTGAAATGAGTAACAATTCCGGCATCTTCTAAGGCGAAGAATAATGTTCAGTACCTGCCATTTAAAAGAAAAAAAAAGCATCATTGATTGATGTATGCTAACGTATAGCTCTAATCAAAAAAAGTTTTTTATTGCGCGCTATGTAATAGTTAATTATTTTGCTTTCGTTATGCCGGATTATCTGAATGGTGACCTTGATCGTGGTTGCGTAAGTGAATGACGGCACCTAATTAGTATTCCCAGAGTTACCTGAAACTACGCGTTCATTTTGTTTACAGTTATGTTTTCAAAATTGTAAATAATTTTATATCAGTGGTAATTGAACACCAGCAAGTAACGTCATCATAAGTAAATCGTGGCATTTGTTGGCTCAGAAGCCAATCAGATTCGACATAAGAGCATGACGTAGCTTACAGGTATCCAATTAAAGCTGATTTAAACCACGTGTTTAGACATGATCATTTCACTTCTTCTGGAGTTACAAGCAAAAAATAAATAAATAAAGTAATAAGTTTTGTACTGATAAAGCAAAATTAATAGAGAAATGGTACTAATTCGTTTAAGAGAACGCAAGAAATCAGCATACTATTATTGTCATCAATGCTTAATTAATTCTGATAATATATACCAATTAAAATTTTAAAAAATGAGCTATGTACTAAAAAGCAAACCTGATGAAGAAAATGTATTTCGTCGTTATATGCAACAGTAAAAAGTCGATTTACTTTTATTAACAATATAAACTGCTGTTTGTAGAAAATGCAACACCATGAAGGAATCATCAGAATCAAATGAAATTCGCAGCAAATGTCAATTATAGGATATTATGCAAATTAATAAAGTTTCAGAGCCATCGCGCGTGCGTGGCGCGCGCAGCGCCCTCTGAATTGATGCTGAAAGCGTATAAATAAAGTGCTGTAGCGGGACGTTGAAAATAGTCTATGATTATTTGTTAGTGGCAAACGTTTAGTGAGACCTGAGTATGCCTCCACGACGGAAGAATAAGAAATTCAAGCAACTTACGGAGTTTGAACGAGGGAGGATAATCGGCCTTCGAGAAGGAGGATTTTCCTATCGCGCAATAGCAGCTCGTATGCAGCGGAACAGTTCCACAGTGATGCGAGTTTGGAAGCAGTGGACCGACGAGCACCGAACAACTCGAAAAACAGGCACTGGACGACAGAAGGTGACGTCAGAGCGCGATGATCGACACCTGCTCCGCATGGCGGTGAATGATCGCACAGCTTCCTCCAGGCAGCTGGCAGCACATTGGTCTACTGCTACAGGTGTACAATTGTCGGCTTCGTCAATTCGTCGTCGTCTGCTGCGCCGTGGATTGCGTGCAAGGGTGCCATTATACAGGATTCCCCTCACGGCGGATCATCGACGGCTGCGTCGGCAGTGGGCTCTTGAGCACAGAGACTGGCGAGCTGATTGGCACCAAGTTGTCTTTTCAGATGAATCACGCTTCAATTTGTGGACCCATGATGGCCGTGTTCGTGTTAGACGTTATGCCGGTCAACGCTGCCTTCCTGAGTGTATTATTGAACGACATAGTGGTCGAACACCCGGAGTTATGGTCTGGGGTGCGATTTCGTATCATGGACGATCCAATTTGATACGAATTGAGGGTAATCTCAATAGCAACAGATACGTCCGTGAAGTGCTACAGCCCGAAGTCGTTCCTTTCCTTCAAGGCATCCCTGGAGCTATCTTTCAGCAGGATAATGCACGCCCACATGTTGCGCGGACTGTTAGAGACTTCTGTTCAGCACAACGCATGCAACTTCTTCCTTGGCCTGCTTATTCGCCGGATATGTCGCCTATTGAGCACGTGTGGGATATGGTTGGTCGGCGTCTCACTCGTGATCCGCGTCCTGCAGTTTCCAAAGACGAACTTTGGTTGCGCATACAAGCGATATGGAATTCTCTTCCTCAAGCAGATATTCAACATCTGTTTGACTCCATGCCACGTCGTATAGCAGCACTTATTGCAGCGCGTGGTGGCTGCACCAAATACTGATTTCGGACGCTTAATTTGTTTCTTTTGTTTTGAAAATTTCATCATTTATTTGTATCAGTGTTAACCATTGCTGC